ATAGTGTACCATTGTACAGCCCGGGCTTTCTTACCCGCTCGTCCAATGCCCAGTCTATCAGGAGGTTATTGGTCTCTCTTTAATAGGTAAGTAGCAGGTCGGTATACACCCTGTGTAAGAATCTGATGATGTGCTGCGTCTGAGTGCCATATATTTTTCCTGCAGAGAGATTTGCCTTCTTGTGGGGCTGTAGTGGTCAGAGTCCTATTATCTTGGGCCTCGGTCTTGCTCACCACTCTCTTCTGGGCTTTACAGATCTAGCTGGGCCAGAGAAGCTCCGACATGGGCCTTGACTGAAGGACTGCCTGTGATCGCTGTCATCTTGGGTGCCGCTCAATGCTACCGCACAGTAGGTAATGGTAAGTGCTAGGTGTAGTGGTGAGGAACCTCCTGGTACTGGGATGACCCTCCAACTCCTGATGCACTTGTAGGCCGCAAAAAGTAGAAGCCTTGCAACCCGGACCCAAATGTTTTCGATACTGGTGTCTGTCGGATCCGCAAGGTCTATTCTCTTTAGCATGCGGTATTTTGCTGACTGACTTGAAATAATTGTACAATTAGCATGTGGAGCCCAGAAGCTCATGCAGCATGTGACCTCTTAGCTATCCAGTCAGGCCCGCCCCCTCAAATTTTAGCTAATTTTCTAAATCTATTTTGCAGCTGTTATTAACACAAAACTATATTATGTTTATTCAATATAACCGAGCATCACGTGTTATATCTACATAAAACACTGCCACGTAGAAAGGGCCCTGGTGCAATAATTTATTCTGAACCTTCTCCAGCACAAAGAAGGCCAAAATCTTAATCCCCACCTGTCGAACAACTCCCATGAGGCTTTGCAGGCTGGGTATTTACTGTATGCAAATCCTTGCAGGGTTGTAATTATGAGCAATGTTTGTGTTTGAATGTAAGCAAAAAGTATGTGTGTGCATGTAAGGGTGTATTTGTGTGTAGCATTGAAATTTTAATGCACTTGTCTTTGTATGTACTGTTGCTATTTGAAAGCCGCAATGCACGTGTGTGTATTGTTTGTGTTTTTATGTATTTACATAAATAAGTGGTGTTTGATTACAGGTGTGTGTTTGTATGCAGTTTTGGTATTTCAATGCAGGGTTGTTTGTTTTTAGTGTTGGTGTTGGAATGCTGGGGTGTTTGCACACATATACACACTAAAAACCATACTCACACACATACACACAGATACACAATGGTTCATACACACTCTGATAACAATTTACATAATTTTAGCAACCCCCCTTGCTTCCATTCTGCTGGTTTGTGCCACAAATAGGAAAGTTATTATATCGTTTGAGGTATTGTGCATTATATTTGATCAGACCCTGGCCTCGTTGCAGCCTATCTTGTTACATCTTAAAAACAATCTCCACCCACTTTGATGCCATGTAATTAAAACGTGAATACAAATTTTCCATTTGTTTGTGCTGTTTTGTGTCTCAAAAAATGTATGTAGTTTTGGCTTCTGTGATATTAAATATTTAGGCCATGTAAAACTCAATTTCCACTCAGTTTGCACTTTGCTTCCTATGTAATTAACAGTAAATGAAAATATGCAATTTTGCTGGTCATTGCCGGTATGTGGGTGTTTTTAGGAGTAAATATAGTAAACCATGGATTCACATTGAATTAGAAAGTTTAATTTAGCAGTAAGGGGGTTAACATTCCATAAGAGGTAAATTGGTTAATAGAGTGGGCTAACATGGCAACATACTGTTTAATATAGCATATACAGGTTATTGATGCTTAAAGGGACACTATAGTCACCAGAACAACTACAGCTTATTGAATTTGTTCTGGTGAGTAGAATCATTACCTTCAAGCCTTTTGCTGTAAATACTGTATTTTCAGAGAAAATGCAGTGTTTACATTACAGCCTAGTGATAACTTCACTGGCCACTCCTCCGATAGCTGTTAGAGATGCTTCCTGGGTCATGGCTGCCTAAAATGCATCCAAACATTCAGTGTCTCGTTCCTCTGCATGCAGACACCAAACTTTCCTCATAAAGATTCATTGATTCATCTCTATGAGGATATGCTGATTGGCCAGGGCTGTGTTTGATCTGCCTCTTTGTCAGTCTCAGCCAATACTATGTGGAAGCATTGTGATTGGATCAGGCTACCACTTCTGATGATGTCAGCACACTGTTGAGTTTAACAGCATGCAGAGTTACAGCTTCAAACTTGAATACAGTAAGATTTTTACTATATTTATGAAGGTATGAGGGGCCCAGGGGGGCTAGATGTTGGTTTTAACACTAAAGGGTCAGGAATTCATGTCTGTGTTCCTGACCCTATAGTGATCCTTTAAATGGTTATTGCACGAATCATGACCTTTTTCATTTCAAGCGGTTATGGAGCCTGGAGACTGTAAGTGCAGCTTTTCTCCATGAATTGCTGCACATACGGAGTTCAGCCCACTAGCTTCTGGAGGTGTAACACCACCTTCAGGTGCATCATTGTTCTGGGCTAATATCAATTCTGTGCAAATCTACTAGCACATAATGTCAGTCATTGGCTGAGATCCATCACCTGATGCCTTCAGCCAATGTATGGTAACACCAAGATCAAGGAGCTGTGAAGCTGACAGGAACCCATTCAAGGGGGCAAACCATTGCTAAACAGTTTGCCCAACTACCAGGGAACCACCCAAGGTACTCCTGCCATTATAACAACTACAGCATGCTCTAGTGGCTTTATTGTTTGGAGTAACCCTTTAATGGGTTTGAGGAAGCACAAACCGCATTAAGCAATATAACCGCAAAGTAAATAAGTAGAAAGTCACAACTTAAATACCCCATTGAGCCTAACAAACCTTATTTAGCCCTTTTAACCACTTTATTCTCATGTTAACCTCCACTAATGTCATGTTAACCCTAGTATGCCAGATTAACCCCATCTAGTAATAGTAACTAGCTCAATAGTAGCCACTGATTCCTTTGTGTTAACAGGCTGTTGTCAAGGTAAACTGGGTGTTAAACAAGCAAACAAGCCCTCCAGCAAGTGTTCTTGTACAAGTCACTTTTATTTGTCACACAAGACCTAAAATATCATGTGCAATATCCAACAAACTGGCAAAAATATTCATTTTTTTTTTTTTTTAAGTCAAAAATCTGCACAAACAGAACACAAATAAATAGTATAGCTGAATGTAAGATTTAATATCACGAGTTGCAAGTTAGTGGGGATTGATATTCTATTATTATTATTATCTGTATTTATATAGCGCCAACTTTTTCTGCAGTGCATTTCATTATTATAAAAGGGGGAAATTTAACCAAAAAAAAGAGACAGGAACAATAGGTTTATGAGGACCCTGCTCAAACAAGCGTATAGTGTAGAAATAATGTGCAAGATCTCAGAAATCAAATTAGTGCAAATTAACACAAACAAATGGTATCTTTGTATTAAAGATTTAATAACATGGATTGAAAAGTAGGTGGGAAATATCAAAATGTAATTTAATATCTCCCAAACCTAGCCAGCACAGACATTATTTTTTCCGGCACAATTCAGTACAAATGCAGCATAAACAAATGGCATATTTCTATTTAAGATTTAATAACTTGGAGTGCAAAGTGGGCAAGGTTTGTTAAAAATATAATGCTCAGTATCTCCTAAGCCATACTGGCACAAACATTCATTTTTCAGGCACAAAATGCAGTACAAATGCAGCACAAGCGAATGGTGTATTTGTTTCTAAAATTAATAACACAGGGTGAAGAGAGGGTAGATTTTGAAAAAAATATAATGTGCAAAAATGAAACAAACATTAATTTTACAGCAACAACTAATGATGTATTCTTTTTATTATTTGAAAGCATGGGGTGCAGAATGGGCAGGTTTTGATCAAAATTGAATGCACATTTTTTCCAAAAGCAAATTGGTACAATTGAATGGTAAATTTGTTTTTAAAATGAAACCCGTTAACACTGTTAGGGCATACTATACCGTCCTGCAGCAGGCTTAAACGCCTTTAGAGCGGCTTAGCATGCCTAACAGTTTGGCCGTTTCTTTGGTCCCCTTCCCTATCCATGCCACCGTTTGCATTCTGGGTGTCTGCCTGGCGAAATAGGTAGTCGCCCTACAGGCAATGAAGGCGATCTGCAGTTCATGATCGCGGTGACAGGCTGTTTGTAACATTGGCTGAGACATTGTCTCTGCCCTTTTCTGCCCTGCTAAAAGTGTAGAAGGTTTACAAAGTGTTCTAAAATTAAATAAAAAAATAAAAAAAACTATTTTATAATCCTTTCAGTGCTGATCACAGCATAAACAATGTGATCAGTCTGATTAGGGTGATTAGTATCTTTGTATTATTAATTTGTTATATAAAGATTGAAATGAATAAGCCATATATTTGACTCTGTAACTTTCCTAAATCGAATAAAACCTGTACATGTACTCATGTGACAAGACTGAACACAAATATGAGTGTTTCAGAGCAGTAAAATGTATGATAACAATGATATCAAGAAGAGAATACAAATATTAACATTCACTTTGACCAGGGTTTGAGACTAAGTGGCTACTAAAAAGACTGGACATTTTACCCTGGGTTTTCTACTTTTGCAAATGGCATGCTATGGTGGGGGTAATTATCATTCTTGGGCTGCCATATGGTCTGAAAATCAACATAGGCCCAGCAAACCAATCTGGCAAATTGGCAAGCCCAATAATTGACCTTATAACTTTCCAAAACACATGGGAGGTATTGTTGTACACGTGAGATATCGTTTAACACAAATAAGCATATTTTATCGCAGTAAAATTATATTTTATTATGTCATTCACAGTTAAAATGCCATGCAGAACTTGGAAAATAAAGTTTCCTAAATTTGCACACTTTTTTTTTACAAGATGGCTCCACTAAAGCTCTTACGTCCGATTTTAAGAGCAGCTCCACTCCTTCCCATCATGAGTAGCTTCACCCCTTTTTTACTTGCAGAAGAAAGGAAGAGAGAGTGAGAGAAAACAGAACAATGCTGTGGAAGGATGGCCAATCTCCGGCAGACCCTCCCTCCCAGACCCTCCTACTTCCTGGACAGCATCCATGTTGAAGGCAGCTTCAACATGGATGCTGTCCAGGAGGTGAGAGGGTCTGGGAGGGAGGGTCTGCCGGAGATTGGCCGGGATGTGTCAGCTGACCGGAGTTCGCCGCGAACGGTTCATGGCGAACCGTTCGCGAGAAGTTCGCGGACGGTTCGCAACATCTCTACCTCTGTGGAGACTCAGAACTCTAGGCTTGTTCCAGCCCATGCAGTGCTTACTGTGTTCCCCATTTACAGCAGAAAGCGACTACATTTATAGATAATTATTTTATAGGAAATGAATGTCTTATTTCTCCTGAACAAAATGATACATAAATAAGTGGGTGCACTTAATATGAAAGAGGTAAATTATTGTTGAACAGACTTATAGCTCAAATTTTATGTTTTGTTTTGGTCAGAAGTTGTACAATTGCCTCTGTGTTTAATATCATGGTGTGCAAAATGAGTGATCGTTTAATAAAATATGCAATATCTCCGAAACCAAATCGATGCAAACATTCATTTTTGCATCACGAATCTTTACAAACAAATGGTAAATATGTTATTCACCTTTTAAAAACATAGCTTGCCAACTTCATCTGGGTATGGTCGATCTCTCTGCATGAGAGATACTGCAATCCCAAAACAGGGTACAAGAGTATTCAAATGGTTTCAAATGGTTTAGGTTCACTTTGTAATGGCAAAGGATGAGTTAAAACAAGCTTGAAAATGTAAAGGTTGACCCACCTAAGCGCAAGCTATATGACCTTTTGCCTGTGTTCTCTTCTGTCCTATTTTAGTTTGTTTGAAAACTGTCTAGGGTATCCCTAAGGTAAAATGGTAACCCAGATGTGTACCTTTAGCTCACTGTGCCTAGATGGGTATCAGCCACATCTCTCTGACAAGACACAAGGTAGAATCCTAGGGTTGCTGTATCCCTTTTTGGATTTGAATTGCCCTTTTGGCTGGGATCAGTCTGATACGCAAATGGTTTAGGTTCTCTCTGTAACGGCACAGAATGAGCAATACCAGTTTGATAACTGAGCGGGTACTCCCTGCAGGCCAAGCTATTTGAGTTGTTGTCCATTCTCATTATTCTATTGTGTCCTGTTTTGGTTTGACAAACATTGCTTTAGCTCCAAAAAAATTGAATTATATTTTGTATTGTGCTTTTGAGCAGTTTATTCTTTGTTGTTCAATTGGGACCCCAAGAGTTATATTTAATATTCAACAAATAATTTAACAGTCTAATCTCAAGAAAATGTGCCCATCCACTAGAAAGGCCAGATACATTGATCATTTTCATTGTGTTGCTACTGTACTGAAACATTTTACAACAGTGCAGCCTTGCGATGACTTACAATATCTGATACTTGTAGTTTCATACATCCGTAAGTCTATCTATATAGCTAGCAGTGAAAAACATCTGCAGTTAGAAAATACTTTTCTTATGCAGTATTATCTTGTGATACTTGTTAGCTGTTCTAGAACAAAATTGAAAGAAAAAACTTACTGCATGATAATTCAGGCCCATAGGACAGTAACAAATAAAAATTATATTTAATACCAATTATATTTCAGTTTTAAGACTCATCCACAGTCCCACTGCCTGAACGCAGGGCCGGCCTTAGGGGTGTGTGAGCTGTGCGGCCGCATAGGGCGCCATGGAGCAGGGGGCGCCATGTGGCCGACACAGCTCACACATGGCCGGCCGGGATTTAAAAAAATTAAATAAAAAAATTTGTGTCGGGACGGAGCTTCCCGTGCGGCGGGGGCGGAGCGATACTGACGGTGGGGGCAGAGCTAAAAGTTCCGGATAACTGCTGTAGGAAGCAGGAAGGAGTCCCTGCTTCCCCAACAACCAGTCTCAAGGAGCTGCACTGCCTCCACAATGAACAGAGGTAACTATGTTTGATTGTCAGTGTGTGTGTGTGTGTGTGTGTGTGTGTGTGTGTGTATATGACTGTCTGCCTGTGTGTATAGGTTTCTGTGTCTGTGTGTATGACTGTCTGCCTCTGTGTGTGTGTATGACTGTCTGCCTGTGTGTGTGTGTGTGTGTGTGTGTATGACTGCCTGTGTGTGTATATGACTGTCTGCTTGTGTGTTTGTATGACTGTCTGTGTGTATGACTGTGTGTGTATGACTGTCTGCCTGTGTGTATGACTGCCTGTGTGTGTGTGTCTATGTGTATGACTGTCTGTGTGTGGACTGTGTCTGTGTGTGAGTGACTATCTGCCTGTGTGCGCGGATGTCTGCCTGTGTGTATGTGTGTGGTTGTCTGCCTGTTTGTTTGACTGTCTGCATGTAAGTATGTGTGTGTAAAACTGTATGTGTGTGTGGCTGTCTACCTGTAATTGTGTGTGAGTGTATTTATCTACCTGTAACTGTGGATGTGTGTTACTGCCTGTTCCTGTGTATGTGACTATCTGCCTGCGACTATGTGCATGTAGTGGATTTGACCGTATATATGTATAACTGTGTGCACATAACTCTGCCAAAATATACACCTGCATTCACACACAGGCCTAAATGCATGTTTTTATTTGAATTAAATAACCATCACACACAGACAATAAACCCAGCACAAATATCACATACAACCAATACATGCATATCACACACTGTTAAAACACCCTTTACAAATATCACACACAGTCACATACACAAACAACACAAACATTACATCATACATGGATGACAGGGGGGGGCGCTGTGAAGATTTTTCGCACAGGGCGCCTAAAGGCCTAAGGCCGGCCCTGCCTGAACGCATTTCCATGTTTGTCTTTAGGCTCATATAAATACCCACAAAATCATACTGTGCACTGACTAAAGCTCAGAGGTCTCTCTTGAATTATTAGTGAAAGTGTTTTTCTAACACAATTTAAAGATAACATCTGTCTTCTACACATTGTACTACATGGTTATTGATTAGAAAGCTGTCTGTTATGAAGGAGCAACAAGGAAACCTGGCTGACTAAGGGAGATGTTTGCATCCTAAACTGAAGATATCATTGTAAATTTTTCTATAATAAATCATCAATAACAAAAAAGGTAGCAAACATTTGGAAATTCTTGATTTTGCAGAGGAGAAGTCAGGGTTCAGGTCTGGATTTAATTGCTTGCAGAATAATTTCAAATCTTCATGTACTGCACTCTCTTTCTCTCTTTTTCACTACTGCATGCCCTGTTTGCACAATGGCAATTATTTTGAGAGAGAAGTTCAATCTACTATAAACCAGTTACCCTTTACATTTATGATATGTGACAATAATGAGTAAAGAAAGACTAAAACTAAGAGTAGTAGATCAGTCCATGTGTGTCTGAATTGAGGTAAGGTACAAATAAAAACTACTTGACTCAATTAACAGTTGAACCAGTGGACTCATGTTTAAATCCTGCTGAGACAAATCTTAGATACCTAAATTGGCCTGTAGCATCTTGTTTATTGGACTGATATTTCAGAAGTGTCCAAGAAGTTTAGCGAGATGAAAGGTGTATCTTGGTATCTCAGTGAGCATGCTTTGTTGTCTTATTGAGAGAATATGTTGTTAATCAGTGGTTGTGGTCAGTAGATACAAGGAGTTGTTACTCATTAGAGTAAGCATGTCAAACTCAAAGACTAGCACGGGCCAAATTAACAAGGTTTAGGTTTATGTGGGCTGCCAAAAAAAATTTAAAAAAAGAATTTCATAGAAACGTAGGTTTGTTTTGAAAAGTACAGTATAAAAAACAGCATCCCTCTATACTAAATCCCATTCCCGTCTACCCCTTTAAAAAAAACAAACAAAAAAAAACCAATATTAGCCAACAAGCAGACTCCACTCACATTGCTGCTGCCAGTATGCGACTTCGGAAGTCCAGCTTCTGGTATACCCATTGTGGCAGAACCACTGCCTATTCGTGGAGTTCCTTTCTTACTGTGTTTATTCCCCTGTACTTCTGTATACTGTGCCCCACTCCCCATTCAGGAGAGCTCCCACGAAAGAAACTCATTTGTCTCCCGAACGGAGCCACCCCCATATCTAATTTAGAAGATGGGTTAGAATGTTCAATTAGAATGCTCTCACCTCGCTCATCGGTGCTAAACCGCTAGGGAAACAATGAGGGCTCCCCTGGGTGGCCGCTACAGTACAGACGAACACCAGCCAGGGTGAACGTTCATGGATTGTTTCCTGACTCATTCGTCTTCCAAACGAGGACTACCCGGTGCCCCATTAGAATGTTCCCATTAATTAATCAGAATGTTCGCACTGGCAACATAGTATGAAACTGTAAGGGAAGTAATTAATGAGTGCTCTCCTGCGTGGCCGCCCTTTCGTATAGACAAATGCCAACCAGAGGGAGCAGTCAAAGGGACCACCGAACCAAGTAGGGATGTTCGTGACATGTCTAACTCACCAACTGCAAGGGAAGAAGTATTGCAAGGAACTAATTATGTTTTTGAATCATGGTTAGGCCAATGCTACGTACAATAAAGAATTATATAGTCAATATACATCATCTAGAACAATATGGAGATGCCCATACAATACAAGGAACCCAGTGCAATAAGACAATACAATGCTCAGAACTAAGCACGACAACAAGATAACCATAAAATATACAGAGTTGAGTACAATACAGATATAAAATACACAGAGAACAAACAGATACCAATACGTACTTCACACAGCCAGGGTCACTGTGATGAATACAAAGAGCGGCAATACAGAGATCCCCACAGTACAATGTTTATGTATAAGATTTCAGCTCTCGCTGTCTAACTCTAGTTCTCTAGACCTGTCTGAGTCTCCGTTTACTGATCACATCTTCCGTAGTACTCCTGCTACGACAACTATATCTTGTAAATGTTACTGCTGCTGCTGCTGCTGCTATGAAAAACATGTTAGCTACTCCTGACTCGTTATTACTGTAATGGTAGTCACCATCACCAAGGGCTTAAGATGGGCAATCCAATTAGGTATCTGAAAGATTCCTATGTTTGTCACCCTGTTTCAATTGTGGGTGCAAGGTGTGTGTGTAATATAGTTGTTAAAGGTTAGTGTGCTCTCCTGTGTTGCTAATGCTTACAATCAACTAGGTAGATTTGGCTGTGGAGCCTGTACAGCGCCACC